TGTGTGTGTGTGTGTGTGTGTGTGTGTGTGTGTGTGTGTGTTGATCTTATTTCTTTTTGCAGTCAATCTGAAGAAGGACAGCGAAAACACACCAGTCAAAGGAGGTACCGTCGCAGATCTTGGTGAGACCAACTTTATTCTGGCTTTTTATTTACAGCTGGGCCTCGACTTATGACCGTTTAGCGATCGTTCGTCATTACAACGGCCCTTAAAAACGGAATTTAGGATGGTGTTTTCCCCCTTAATGATCATCGCAGTGTCCCTTGTTCAAGCAATCAGAATTCAGCCGCTCAAACCCCTCTGACTTATCTTTACAACGGTCGCAAGTGGTCTGGGCTCTCATGATTCCCCCTTAAGCTTCGCTTAACGACCCTAGGACTAACCTCCCAAGGATGGGGATTCAACTTAATGGTGGCCAGCCACATTGTCAAACTTCACTACCGCCTCACTTAGCCACGGACAGGCTGGCCTCCATTGCAGTTGTAAGTCGAGTCCCTGCAGAAGGGAGGGCAGCCGTAGATATTCAGACACTCAGAGACACTTGCTGCGCTCCGTGGTATACAACGGCGACATTGTGCGAATGACCCAAATCCGCCTCCCATTGTCTTCTTTGTCTTGCAGATGAACAAGATGATGAGACGATGACGGCCGGAGCGAAGGTTAGCCAATGTTCTTTTCCTTTAATTTTTTTTTTTAAATAATTAATTAATTTTAATTAGCAGCCTGGAGCTTCGACTTCCCCTCAGACAAAGGCGCAGTCAGGATTCCGGCAGTTCCCCCCAGTGAAATCCTGAGTCTCGAGCAAAACTTCCAAAGGATTTATGGGGGGTTAAAATGTCCGGCACTGCCTGGGTGTAGCCAACTCTGAGGCACATCATTCCTTGTCCCCCTTGACCCTGGTTTCCCCCACCCCGCCCGCTGGGTGTATCACAATTCCTATTCTCCAGTGAGACACCTCCATAGCCCAGAGTCATCAATCATGGTCTCCAGTTAGATATTTGTGTGACAGAAACTTTGGTCACCTAGTTACTATCTCTGAAAAACTATTCATGGAATGCGCTTTCGATTTCCAAGCTGCTGCACTGCTCTCCCCTCCCTTTCTGTCAGCAACTCTAAAAAGACCACAGAAATATTTTATGAGTTGACGGGCGCTGGACCTCAGCGAGGCTCCTGGACTCAGGTATGGGCTGCTACCCGTTTGCCCCGGATCATGCGATCCGGTTGCTAACTGGTGGCTAATTTTAGGGATAGTTCAGCGAACCAGCAAATCCCACCCCTGGCTAGCCCCCCCCCTCCCCCCCGCCAAGGAGTCCCCACGTGGCCAATTTTGGATCCCAGATAAATACAGGCCCACACAGAGGCTCAGGGAGGGCGAAAAGCAGGCTGCCTAGAGGCTCTGGAAGACCAGAAAGGGGCCTGTTTCCAGCCTCCAGGGGGCCTCTGGAGCCCGGGGAAAATGCCCTCCCCTGCCGTGGTGCTGGAGGCCGACTAGGCCACGCCCACCCCAGCAAGCAGGCGGAGAACCGGTTGCTAAAATTTTGGAAGCCCCACCCCTGCCTGGACTCTAATCTTGGAGAAAAGATTGCAAAGGAAGTGGCATTTGTTTGAGTTGCAAAACAAGTTCCCTTTTTGGAAGGTTTTTTAGCGCAAGAGAAGGAGTAATCTCTCTCAGGAAAGTTTGCTTTGCTTGGGCCACGCCGGGCTCTGACTGGCTTTTGGGGGTGAACTATGCACCGAATCTTCTTCTCGTCAAAAATCGTGACTCCTAACTTGAATTATGGGCAGAGGAGCCGGGGGAGAGGGGGGGGGGGGGGGGGATTTCGCAAATTGGGATATGTTGAACCTCTGATAGTTTCATTCCACGTTTGTTGAATGGAAGGGACATTTTTTGAGGGGTCCTGGGGAGCCTCTTGAGGTTTGAGGTTTTCTTGCAGACGTTTCGCGGCCCAACTAGGGAATGTCATCGGGGTTAGGAAGGAGGGAGATTCATGAGAAGTGGGGGGGGGGAGGGGACAGAAAAAGCAGGGAGGGAGAAGGGGAAGGAAGGAAAAGGAAGGACAAAGAAAGAAGGAAGGACGGACGGACGGACGGACTATGGGGCCCTTGGTGTTTCCTTGTAGATGTTTTGTGATCCAACTAGGGAACATCATCAGGGCTGGAAAGGAGGGTGTTGTGGAATGGAAGAATAGGAGGAGGAGAAAGAGAGGGAGAAGGAAGGACCATGGGGCCCTTGGCGCTCTCTGAGCTGGGTGGTTTGCTTGCAGACGTTTCAGGACCCAACTAGGGAACACCTTCATTGCTAGAAGGGAGAGGGTTAGGCTAGAAGGGAGTGCAGTTTCTGGAGAGGAAGAGAAGGGAAAAGAGGAAGGAAAGAAGGAAGGAAGGCCTGGGGGGTATGTGGTCCCTGGTGCTCTCTGAGCTGAGTGGTTTCCTTGCAGAGGTTTCGTGACCCAGCTTGGGAACACCATCAGTGCTAGAAGGGAGGGAGGTTTGTGGAGAGGAGGAGGAGGAGGAGGGAAAAGAGAAAGGGAGGGAGGGACTGTGGGGTCTTTCATGCTCTCTGAACTGGGCAGTTTTATTGGCAGGCTTTTCTTGATTTATTCTCCGTCGATATAAACTCTCCGCTAACACAAGCTCAGAGAGCACCAAAGACCCCACAGCCCTCCTCCTCCTTTCCAAAAACCTCTCTCTCTTCTAGCACTGATGGTGTTCCCTAGTTGGGTCATGAGACGTCTGCAAGAAAACCATCCAGCCCAGCACAAAGGACCCCCAGTCCTTCCTTCCTTCCTTCCTTCCTTCCTTCCTTCCTTCCTTCCTTCCTTCCTTCCTTCCCTCCCTCCCTCCCTCCCTCCTTTTCTTCCTTCCTCCCTTCCTCCTCCCTTTCCTCCTTTTCCTTCCACCCTTCCAACACTGATGATATTTCCTAGCTGGGTCATGAGATGTCTGCGAGAAAACAACCAAATTCAGAGAGCACCCAGGACTCCACAGTCCTTCCTTCTTCCCCCCCACCTTCCTTTCCTCCCTCCTTTTCCTTCCTTCTCGCACTGATGATGTTCAGTTCTTTTCTCCGAACAAATCTTGCCTGTAACAAAATCTCAGAAGACCCTGAGAACAAAGCGTCCCATAATCTCCTCTTACATTAAGGCGCTCTCCTTCACACAACAGTGTTTATTCTTCCAACAAATTTACTGATGTCCAGTACCTTCTTTGAGAACTGGGGGTGGGGGTGGGGGGGGTCAAAGTCATATAGCTCAGGAACAGGAGAAAATAGAAGAAGGGGGAAGGAGAAGGGAGGAAGAGAAAAAAGAAGGGGAAGAGGAGGAGAATGAGAAGGAGGAGAGAGAAAAGGGGAGGAGGGGGAGGAGAAGGAGAAAAAGAAAGGAGGGGAAAAGGGAGAAGAAGAAGAAAAGGGAACAGGAGGAGGAGAGAGAAGGAAGGAGAAAAAAGGAGGAGGGAGGAGGAGGAGAAAAAAGGGGAAGAAGAGAATTAGAAGAGGGAGAAGGAGGAGAAGTGGGGACGGAGGGCCAAGAGATGGAGGAAGAGGAGGAAGAAAAGAATATTGCCAACTCTTCAACTGTCTTTCTCGCCGACAGGAAGATGAAGACCCCAACAAAGGGGACCAGGGACGGTCCCTCGATGCCGGAGAAGACAACGTCACCGAACAGACCAACCACATCATAATCCCCAGCTATGCCTCCTGGTTCGACTACAATTGGTAAGCCTCCTCATTTTACGTCAAACCTTAGTGGGGTTAGTGAGGGGGTTTGGAGGGGGGAAGAGGAGGAGGAAAGAGCGTGGGGTCCTTGTTGCTCTCTAAACTTGGGGGTTTCCTTGTAGATGTTTCATGAGCCAACTAGGGAACGTCATCAGTGCTGGAAGGAAGGAAGGAAAGAAGGAAGGAAGGAAGGAGAGGAGGAAGGAAGGAAGGAAGGAAGGAGAGAGAGAGGGAAAGGAGGAAGGAAGGAATCTTGTCAATTCCATAATTGACATTATTTTCTACATGGAATGAAGGGGAGGAAGATGAGGTGGTAGAGGAAAAAGACTGTGGAGTCCTTGGTGCTCTCTGAGCCTGCTGACTTTCTTGCAATCCTTTAATTACCAAACTAGCTGATGATGAAGTCATAATTGCTAGAAGGGAGGAAGGTTATGGAGTGGAAGACGAGGGGAAGAGGAGGGAGGGAGGGAGGGAGGAGGACTGGGAGGGCAGTTCTTATTGCTCTCTAAGCTTGGTTGTTTCCTTGCAGACATTTCATGACCCAACTAGGGAATGTCATCAGTACTGGAAGGAAGGAAGACAGGAAGGAAGGAAGGAAGGAAGGAAGGAAGGAAGGAAGGAAGATGAGGGAGGAGGAGGACCTTGGTGCTCTCTGAGCTGGGTGTTTTCTTGCAGACAACGCGTGAACAGCATCAGTGCTAAAAGGGAGTAGCTAGGAGGGTTTCATTCTCTTTTTATAAACAGTCCCTTCCAGCACTGATACTGTTGTGGTCCACCGGAGGCCTGTGGAGCTGGCAGCAGACAGTGGGGAGGAACATGGGCCGGTTCTTGAGTCTGGGAGGACTTGAACAAGAGATTTGCGTCTGACACAGAGAGGGGGCCACAGCCATCTGGGAGTTATGTGCTGACTCAGGAGCTTCCAGAATCTGACAACAGCAAGGCAGAGGAACAGAGGGAGCCTGTTCCCAGTGTGTGCTTGCGCAGAGGCGCCAGTAGACAAGAATAGTTAAGACAAAAGGGGCAACTTGAGAGTAAGGCTTGGAGGTGATTGGTCCCTCCCATAAGTCATAAAGGAGGAGCAAAGGGACATGAGCCTTTGCAGGAAGCAACTTTGTTTGTTCTGGTCGGTTTAAACTCTGAAGTTCCGTGTTGACTTTGTGCTCCGTTTGGCTTTGTACAGCTAATTGGCAATGTAGTCGTTGGCAGCATTTCAAGGGAGATAAAGGTGAGTGCTGATCAGCCTTATCCCGAAGGACTGTGGCAGAATTTCTGTTGGACTATTCACAATCGGTTTGGGACTCCTTACGGGCGGTGAATGCATCTAATTCACAGCCATTGAAATAAAAGGAGGGTTTTGGGGACTAAGCGTGTGATTGTTACTGTCTCAGGAAGCCTTGGTCAGAACAGATACCACCTAAGTCGGGTCACGAAACTTCTGCAAGGAAATAGATTCCATTTATTATTTGTGGCCGGATCTGTCCTTTCTTTTAATTAACAGCACAAAGCGACTTTTACATAGATTTGGCTCAATGAATCTGGCCTTGTCTCCTTCGGGCTTGTCCTGCTTTCCCGATGGCTGTGACTGGGGCTTCCACAGCAAGCTAGCATTGAATCCAGGTTGATCCAGGGATGATTCACAGAGCCAGCTGGGAATTTGCAAGGCCGCCTTGAACCGAACAGCAGACTGACCCGATTCCTCTCTTTCGTTTCTTCTAGCATCCATGTCATCGAACGCCGGGCGCTTCCCGAATTTTTTAACGGGAAAAACAAATCCAAGACTCCAGAAATGTAAGTTACAGAGTTAAGGGAGGGGATCTCTTATTCTCTCTTTGTCTCTCTCTGCCTCTCTCTCTCTCTCTCTCTGTCTCTCTCTCTGTCACTCTTTTTGTCTCTGTCTCTCTGTCTGTCTCTTTCTTTATATATATGTGTGTGTGTGTCTCTTTCTATCTGTCTCTCTTTCCCTCTCTGTCTCTCTTGGTCTGACACTCTGTCTCTCTCTCTCTGTCTCTGTCTGTCTCTGTCTTTCTCTCTCTCTCTCTCTCTCTCTCTCTCCTTCTGTCTCTCCCCTTTTGTTCCTCCTCTCCACAACACCCCCTCCCTTCTAGCACTGATTATGTTACCTAGTTGGGTCATGAAACATCTGCAAGGAAATATACCAGCTCAGAGAGCACTAAGGACCCTGTCCCCCAGTCCTCCTTCTCTTCCTCCTCACCTACCTTTTCCTCTTCTTCCCTGTCCTCATATTCCTCCTTTGCTTCTTCCTCCTTCTCTTTGTCCTCCTCTTTTTCTTTCTTCTCCTCCTTCTCCTTGACCGAGCCTCTTCTTCTGCCAAATTTAGAGAGCACCAAACCCCACCACCACACTCTTCCTCCTTCCTCCTCTTCCTTTTCTTCTTCTTCCTCCTCCTGTTCTTCCTCCTCCTCCTCCTCTTGACAATCTCCCCTCCCTCCTAGCACCGATAACGTTCCCTACTTGGGTCGTGAAACATCTGCAGGGAAACTCAGAGAGCACCGAGGACCCCACAGCCCATCCATCCATCTGTCCTTCCTCCTTCTCCTCCTCCTCCTCTTCCTCCTCTTCTCCAGAAACCTCGCTCCTTCTAGCACTGATGATGTTCCCTAGTTGGGCCATGAAATGTTCACAAGAAACACCTCCCCCCAAGTCAGAGAGCACCAAGGACCCCACAATCCTTCTTCCTCTTCCTCTTCTTCTTTCTCCTCCTCCTCCTCCTCCTTTTCCTCCTCCTCCTTGAAAACTCCCTTCCCTTCTAGCACTGATGATGTTCCCTAGTTGGGTTGTGAAACATCTGCAAGAAAACCTCCCAAGTCAAAGAGTACCAAGGACCATAGTCCTTCCTCCTCCTCTTCCAAAACCCCCTTCTCTTCTAGCACTCATAATGTTACCTAGCTGGGTCATGAAACATCTGCAA